GGGCCGCGTCTCCGGGCAGTGGTGGAGACGCACGCAAGGGGCAGGCAGTCCGCGTCCCGCACCCCTCAGCCGCCCGAGCCATGAGCCGTGAGTCCGACCCCGAACGCCCAGGATCTTGGACTCCTGGCGGAGCCTTGAATGCCAGGCTCAGCACCTCGTCTTTCTCTCCTGCAGGGAAGAGTCTCTCGTTCGGGTTCCCTCTGTTCCTGCTCCTGCTGCAACCGTCCCCGCTCCTGCTCGCAGACCCAGGGGCGCCCACGCCAGGTAGGAGGGGTCCTGCGTCCCAACCTAGTCCAACTCCCTCCTAGCCCAGCGTGGGAAAGGGGCGGGGGCTGAGTTTATTGGTGAGATGGGGGCTCTCCGAAGATTCCCGGGGGCGTGGACTTATTTAACGCGGCTATCAGTTTTTTTTCCCCCTGGGGTAAATGGCAGGCTGCGATCTCGCGCACGCATGGGGAGAAGGGACAGCCCCTCCATGCACCTCACCTGTTCTGGACCCCCAGCTGTCCAGGCGGCCTCCTCCCCCAACAGCCCCGCTGTTTCCTGTGAGGGCCTTTTGGAGGAAGCCGTCTGGCGAAAGAGTTACCCTTCTCCAGCTTTCAGCCTTCTGGGAACCCATCCTGATTCCCATCCCCAGTTGAGAAGGTGTCCCCTGGTGATGGCTCGGGAACACCAGCCATTCTACAAAGACGGAGGTGGAAATACATTTACACAGCAGGGCTGCCTCCTCTGGGGTTTGAACCTCACAGATGAGGTCCCCCCTGACAGATGAGTAAACAGAGGCTCACAAGGTGTGATGAAGCCCCCGAGTGCACACAGGATATGGTGAGTTCAGGTCTGCCTGATGCCACACACTTTGCAGGGTTTTTCCTCTGAAAGCTCCCTTTACCTGCAATAGCCCCTGGGCCCCTCTGAGTTTCATCTCCCGAAGGTTGATGGGGGAAATTCCACCCCTCCTCCTGCATGCATGTACCAGGTTCCAGATGAAGGAATTCGGCACCTCATTCAGCCAACCTTCCTCCCCCAGCTAACTTCGTGTGTGTGTGTGTGTGTGTGTGTGTGTGTGTGTGTGTGTGTGTGTGTACGCGCATACATGCATGTAGACCCAGCCTGGACATAGCTTCCTCCACCACCTAGCTGTGTGACCCATCCCTCTCTGGGTCCCCATTTCCCAACCAGTAAAGGGAGGCCAAGAAAGGTTGGAGCGGGCAGAGGGAGTCTGTGCTTTCTGCTGGGATGCTCTGGGGATCTGATGCTCTGAGTAGAGGAAAGCTATCCACGTGGACTTCAGATCAGACCAAGTGTCCTGCAGGAGACGGTTTGAATGGGTGGCATTTGGGAAAAAGGAGAGGATGGAGGCTACTCTAGGAAAGGACTTGAGTTGAGCAACAATTGGGTGTATGGGGAGAAGGGGAGGAAGACTCACGTGGCCAGCACTTTACAGTTTCCAAAGGTTGGCCTGGGCACCCACTTCTTTGGTGTTCTCAACAGCCCTGCCAGGAAGATGTGCTAAACCTGTTCTACAGAAGGGGACTTAAAGGTCAGAGGGGTGAGCCCACTTGTCTGAGACCCTGCAGTGAGCGAGTGGCAGAGCTGGGATTGATCAGGCTGCCTCAGTGACCCATTTCATCAGTTCCTGGATCAGCCCAGCCCTTCCTTTGAGGCCCCAGCTGGCCCCATCCAGGCCTCTTGGTGTACAGGGCCTGCCCTGCCCGCCCCCGTCTCTGTCCCTCTCTTTCTTTCTCTCTCTCTCTCTCTCTATATATATATATATATATATAAACATATGTACATATATGTGTGTGTGTGTATTTATATGTATATATAGTCTGTTCACTAAAGCACAGTGAGCCATGGTCTGTGCCATTTTGTTTTTTGCTCTTTCTACTTATTTTTATATAATAAGTGTTTAAACAGAATTTTTTTCCCCATTCTTGAGGGCTTGCTTTATACCAGTCTTTCACTGGGGCCTGGAGACACAGAGCTGGGAGCAGCTTACAATCTGATGGTGGAGGCAGACATGTCAACAGGCAGTCATCCAAGGGTATCAGGGTCATGACGGGGAGGAGGGAGGTGAGCTCATGGGAGGGATCAGATGCTTCTCAGTGGGAGGAATTGAGGGAGGCTCCTTGGAATGGGTGACATTTGAACTGGACCTTGAAGGAGGTGATGGGTGGGAAACACTGTGAGGCTTGACACCATAAGGACAATTTGTGGCAGGAGAAGGAGGGTGGATGGATGACTTGGAGGATGAGGCTGGAAGCCAGTAACGAGGCTCCTGCAAGGATTAAGGAAAGAACGGATGACAAGTGGTGTGCTGGGCAGAAAGTTTGGTCTGCCTTCATACTTCTAAGTCTGCAAGTAGACTGAGGCCCAAGCTGCTTGGGCATCTGTCCCTGAAAGCCAAAGTCTGTGTTTTGCCCCTAGAAGGGAATAAAGGAGATGAGGAGACAGGGCTGCAGACTCACCAGAGAGGGAGGGAATGTTTCTTCTGCCTCTCTGGTGGGGAGGAGATGAAGTCCAGTTTGGAGACAAGACTGTGCAGGGGATCCTTAATACTCAAGTTCCTCCCCTCTAGCCCCTGGGCTTGCCCTAGTGCCCCACTCTCTAGCTAAGATAGGAGCATGACCTGGGCCCAGAGCTGCGTGCCAGGTAGAGGAACTGGGGGTCAGCTAATCCTGCCACTTCAGGCAGGAGGGAACCCAGCTGCACTGAGGCTTCCCTGTCACTTTGGGTCACTGCTGCCTGCTATCTCCAGCACCAGCTGGGCCTGTGGACCAGGAGGGGACTTCCTCTCCTGGGCTTCCTCAGCTGGGCTCTTCCAACTGCTGGGCTCAGCTGCCTGGGCCTGATGTGGTGGTGCTGGATATAGGAACTGGGGCCCCGGCCTGGCTCATCAGGGCTCCCTTTTTCCCCCTTTGATTGCAAGGTCCCTGGAGACTCTCTAAATATGGTTTCTTAGGGGATTTGGGTCCACGCTCCCCACTGGGCCCTTTTGAAGCCTGCCACCTCCGCATCCTGGAGGACTCATTGTTCCCCGGGTGTGCCTGTCCCTTAGCCACTCTCAGCCCTGGGCATGGAGCCTTGACTCTTGGACTGGGAGACACTTCCTTGCCCAAATCCTTGGAAAAGTTCTGAACCCAGGCAGTTCTGGACAGTCCTCGTCTGTGGGAATGTGGACTAGCTGGTTGACCTTTGGGTTTTATGTATCTCGTATGCAATACATGGGTATTCTGATCATCCTCAGCTCTGGGGGTGGGTCCCAAGAACTCAGTGAGAGCAAGTTCTCCATTAATGGGTCAGGGGATTCATCTTGATACAAATAGTGGAGAGGGAAATATGGACTCCGTCCAGAGGAGAGAAAAGGAGCAGGGTGTCAGAGGAGAAGTCTTCTTTGGGCTTGCCTGCTCTATCTCCTTCATGAGACATTCAGGAAGATGAGGCTTTGACGGTGGAAGGCACTTGCCCAAGGACACACAGTCAGTAAGAACACTCAAATATCAGTTTTCCTGAGCACTTATGTGGTGCTGTTATGAGTGTGGTCCTGTTATGAGTGTGGGGAACTCAAGATGAATTAGACTCAGCGCCTGCATCTCCTTTGGTTTTTTCCTTGATGAAAAGGGGTGTCCTCCACTAATCATAGAACTGTGTTGGCATGAAAACATGCAGTATTGAAGTTAGACCGAAGGAAGTCCTTTCTGTAGTTCCCAGAGATCTGGTTGTGGCAGGAGATGATACTTTGTCTGGGGTCCTGGTTTCGTTCATTCAGTATTTTCAAGGTTCACCTTGAAATGGCAAACCTGCTTCACCTGGGGTCAACTCCAGGATGTGGATTAAAGTGACTCTTTCTTCCCATCCCTTCCTCCAATCTAGACCTGGGCACCTCCAGGAGGAGGAAGGTAAGGGAGGAGAAGGGAATTTAAGCCTTGGCTCTGCAACTTCAAAGCAGTGGGGCCAGCGCGTCTTTTGCTTTTGCTGGGCCTCACATTCCTCACTGTGCATGGAGAGTCTCACCCACTCAACCTGAGGGGTGGTGGGAAGATAAATGAGTGGTGTACACAGAAGGCTATGGACTTGGTCACCTGAGTCCAACTGTGGCCAAGTAGTCTCCTCTCTGTGCACCTGGACACCTTGGGGCCTTAGTGGCCAGCTGCTGTAGTCCTTGCTGGGAGAACTCTTCCTGCCTTGGGGCAGCTGGTGTTTATGGAAAGAACACGGGAGAGGAGGGAGGGAAACAGGCCGGTGTCCCAGAGGGAGGAGCCTCAGCTCCGGCACAGCACAGCCTTTCTTGGCAGGCAGGGATGTGAGCAGCTCTTTGCTCTTCTGCCTGCAGGGGCAGAGCTCTAGGGCTACCACGGGGGGAGCTGCTGAGGGCTGGGAAGATGAGGGTCTCTCTTTGGCCAAGTTGGGGTGGCCAATCGCCTCACCTCATTTTACTTATTCCACAAACTTTTGTTAAGTTCTGGCTACCACATCTGGATCCCAGACCTGGGTTGAGCTCCAGCTGAGTGCACAGCCTATGACTGGGGAGGAGAAAGTCAGGGAAGGTGGGGCCCCTTCTCTTGCAATCTTGTGGTGGAGAAGGGCAGGTTGAAAGAGAACCTGGAGACAGGGGTGGGGGGATGGGGAAGAGGGAAAGTGAAGACATTCAGGAGAGGCTTTCTGGGGGAGGCAAATTTGGAGGACATTTATTTAGAAGCAAGTGGGTAAAGGATGGAGAGTGCTTTAGCTTGGGGGCTAAGGGAGGGGGCTGCTGTGGAATGTTTGAGCTGGAAGAACCTGTAAAGATCCTTGGGAGGTCTGTACTGTGGTAAGGATGGGGAGACTGAGCCTGGAGGAGGCCTGTGCCTCTAGCCCCTGTGCCATGTGGTAGGATTGGACCGTGGGTGACAGAGGGCCTTTTGTGCCAAGGTTGGGAGCTGGACAGTGGGGAGCTACAGGGGCTCCTGGGCAGGTGAATGAGCCAGGCCAATTGAGCATTGTGAGCAGGAAGGAGTAAGGAAGAGAGTTCCAGCAGGGGTGAGGAGTCCTTTCTGGGAGGGATCCGATCCTTGAGCCAGCTGTGGGGCTGACCCTGAGGCATCTTGGCCTTTCTGGGCCTATGACTGTGGTAGGGGTGACTGGGGTCCTGCCAGGCCTCTTCCTTGTGTCCTGCCTGCCAGGTCTGTCTGTGGTAGCCTGATAAAGCCTCTTTGTCCAGCCTTTTCCTCACTGATCCCTCCCTCCTGCACCCCTGCTGGTACCACACGGATGTCATTGTGGGGCTGTGGGGAGTAGCCAGGCTTAAGCAAAACTATTTGCATGATTCTTGCAATTCGTGTGTGTGTGTGTGTGTGTGTGTGTGTGTGTGTGTGTGTTGGGGGTGGGATGGTGGTGCTGGGGGCCGTCTCTGAGGTTGCCAGTAGGACCCTGCTGCCAGGCCAAGCCCTGTGATGTGAAGTGAGGAGACTGAGACTTGGGCGGGTGTGAGGGAGGCCTCACCCAGGGTCATGCCCTCTGGTCACAGCACTCTGAGATGAGAGCATTTTATCCCAGGCTGCTCTCGCCTTTCACTACCCTCTTGACCCCCAATAATCAGTTGCACAAAGAATAAAACTTCCCGGTAATGTTGGCTCTGAGCCCAGATGAGGAAGTATGTTTGCAGAAGGGAGCCTGGTGTTTTTTGTGTAAGACCAGGGGAAGAGCCTTCTGCCAGAAGCCAGGAGTCCTGGGTTTGCTCTGTTCTGTTTCCTTGGCCAAACGGCGACCTTTCCCTGAGCCTTGGTTTCCTTGTTGAGCAATGAGGGGCACTCTGTGTGGGGTTGTGGCTGGGGGTGGGCTGTGGGTGGGAGTGGGGATTGGGGTGGGGTGATTCCGAAAGAGCCTAAGGAGTTTCTAACTTTGCTGTTGAAGAATCGCTGAGGCAGTGTAGATTTGAGCAAAGAAGCTGTGGTCAGAGGGATCTGGGTTAGATTCAGGGAGGGACTTTCTTGGGTTTCTCCAGGAGGCAGGAGGATGGATGCCAGAGGTTCACTCACCCTGTCAGGAGGGTTTCCAGCCGTGTCTCTCCTGTTCCTTTGGTCCATGGCCTCCCTCGGGAGCTTAGGGTCCAGATCCCATTCTGACTTGGGCCAAATCTGAGCCTATGAGGAATAAGGACTGAGGCAGCTGAGACTCTGGAGTCCCCATCCTCCCACACACCTACACTCTGTTTCTAGGGTTCTGGAAAATTTCTTTCCTTGGATTTGACTGCCGAGCTTATGGGGGTGGAGTGGAAGTGAAGGGATGGGAATTTGGTTTGGTGTGACTTGTTGGGTGACCCTCTCTGACTTTCCTTTTTTCTGGTCTCAGTTTTCTCATCTGCAAAGTGGGTATTATGGTACCTGCTTTTCTTTCCCTTCTGTAGAAATGGAGGGATACAGGAGATCAGTTTTACTAGAGTCCAGGTACTCACAGCTTGGGGCTGGTCTGGTAGAAATCCCCCTCCCTATTCTTGTCCTTTTTCTGAACCCCACCAGCCTGCCCCTGCTGTTGGGCTCTGACTAGGCAGGAAGTGAATGTTCTAGAAGCCTGTGGCTGCAAATGTCTTATCAGCTGTTTCTTAGCCATCAGTGTCACAGCCTGGAGTCTAGACTCTTACCCTGCCCCTCTCCAGTGGCAGTAGGGGGAGGAGGAGAGACTTCCCCTGGGGGCCTGATGTACGCTAGGCTAGAGATCCAGAGCAGGGCCTGGAAACGGCAGGGGGTGGGGGTGAGGGACTTATGTTCATAGCTGTGGAAACAGGGAGGGCCCTTGGGGAAATTCTGAGGTCCACAAGTGGTCACCCAATGATTTAGCACAGAACTGTGACTTGAGTCCATGCCTCATGGCCCCTCATTCCCCACAAGGACTGGATAGGATCAGGAGGTCACCCTAGTGTGGTGTCTGATCTCTGTTTCTCACCCACAGTGAACCCTTGTTGTTACTATCCATGCCAGCACCAGGGTGTCTGTGTCCGCTTTGGCCTTGACCGCTACCAGTGTGACTGTACCCGCACGGGCTATTCCGGCCCCAACTGCACCATCCGTGAGCCACGCCTCCAGTTCCCACTTTTCTCCTTGGCCCTTCTGCTCCCTGGGCTCCCCCTCCTAGACTCCTGTTTCCTGCCCTCATCTCTGGCCATGGCCTGGTTCTCTTTTCTTGCCTGGCTCTACCTTTTCCCTGACCTGATTACAGCATGAGGTGGTTCATCCTCACTCCCTGGTTCTGGGCTCTGTAGTGAGTCTTCACCATAGTCCCTAGCCCTGACCCTGTCTTCACATTGGGTTCTGGCTCTGCTGTGTGTCATCACTCCCAAGGTTCCATCCTTACTCCATAGGTGCTACCCTGTTCCATCCTGGCCCTCATCCTCAGTACCCATTTTCCACCCTGGTTACTCTGGTCCTGTCAGGAGGGCCCAACTGAGTGGCTCCCACTGCCCTTGCAGCTGAGCTGTGGACCTGGCTCCGGAATTCATTGCGGCCCAGCCCCTCTTTTGTCCACTTTCTGCTCACACATGGGCGCTGGTTCTGGGAGTTTGTCAATGCCACCTTCATCCGAGACACGCTCATGCGCCTGGTACTCACAGGTAGGTGCGGGACAGGCCCCCCCTAAGCTGGAGGAGCAAGAAATCCTGCCCATTCTTGAGATTCTTGGTGTCTGATAAGGGCAATGGGTGGGGAGAGTCTATGATGCCAGATAAAACAAGCCCCAGCCCAGCAGGAGGCAGGGAAAAGGGACAGAGCTGGGCACGGAAACACTCTTGTCACCATTGTTTTGGCTCTTTACAGTGCGCTCCAACCTTATCCCCAGCCCCCCTACTTACAACTTAGCACATGACTACATCAGCTGGGAGTCCTTCTCCAATGTGAGCTACTACACCCGTATTCTGCCCTCTGTGCCTGAAGACTGCCCCACACCCATGGGAACCAAAGGTAATGGGGTTGGGGTAAAGAGCTGGGCCTGAGAATCACAGGAGGTGCTCAGTTCTCTTCTGTGGGAAAAAGCAGGCAGAAGAGCAATTATTGACCCATTTCACAGATAGGTGGACCAAGGCAAGGCACATGGCATGTCCAGAACCAGGACTGAGGTCAGGAAAGAGCAGTGAAGGGTCTTGCCTGAGGTTACCTAGGAAGTTAATGGCAGAGTCAGACTAATGTCTCCACAGTTCCAGGGTACCTCTTTGCCTGAACATTGTCTACTGGTGACTGAGGCCCTGCAGGGTTGGGAGTGATTTAAAAGTTGAAAGGTCAGAGGGAATTAATCATATGTTTGGTTCTTTACTAACATAAGCCATCTTCCATGCTTTGCCAGTATAAGGTACAAAGAAGTTCACATTTTTTCTTTCATTGCTCAAGATTCCACTTGGCCTCATTGGCAAGTATCTTCCTTTTAAGGCCTTCTTCCCACTTTACCCTTAGTTGCCCAAAACCTGGGAGGTAATGCAGTTTAGACCCATCAATTCACCTTTAAATACAGAGAGCACAGGAGAGTCTCAGCAGGCCACCATTGCTGTATTTCAGTTCCTGCCACAGGTGTTGCTGTTGAATGCCAGTCCTGTGCAGCCTCTTGGTTGTGTGTTTTTGCAGGCTCAGAACTTTGATGTCTCTACTTGGGTCTCGAGGGCACTACTCTGATGGTTTTCACTCACATGGTTGGCTACTATTCCCAAAGCCGGGATAGCTGGGTCTTGCTAACCCTTTGTTTGAATCCATCCTTACCCAGTGTCAATGAGTAATGATTCCAAATTATTGGGTAAGACCATTCCTTCTAACTTCTCTTTTGGTGGGTTCCCTTTGGGGTGCTTGATTTATTTATTACCCTGCCAGAGGAACCCAGTTGATCATCTCAAGTCAAAGAATTTATTTTGATCTTGAACCCTCAACATTGGGCCTCACATGAGGTATAGGGAAAAGATGACTTCACCAGAACTAAAAAATTATATTATTCCTTTCCATGAGGGGCTTGGGTGCCGACTCATCTGGCATTGACATAATTAAGAAAGACCTCTCAATATTTATTTTCATGATGACAGACACTTACTTGTACTTTACCCCTGACACAGAAAGATGAATCATTTAAAATAGGTTGGCAAAGTTTGACCTGCAGGCCAAATTTAGCCCACTTTGTTTTTGTAAATAAAGTTTTATTGGAATGCAGCCACAGTCATTTGTTTATGGTTTGTCCATGACTGCTTGCCAGCTACAACAGTAAAACTGAATAGATGTGATAGAGACCATATGGCCGGCAAAACCTAAAATATTTACTATTTGCCTTTTTACAGAAAAAGTTTACTGATCCTTAATTTAAAAGATTCTGCCAGTTGGTTCTCTGTCATGCTTACATTATCTCTTGCAACCCTCAAGTCCACTGTGTCAAATGGATATCATCTGCCCATTTTAAAGATGAAGAAATTGATGTTTAGAGAGATGAGATGACTTATCTATGTTCAGACAGTTAGAAAATGGCGTAATCAATTGCAAACACAGGCTACCTTGCCCCAGAGCCAGGGAGTCCATGTCCTTTTATTTTTATTCCTTTCTGGCTAACTTGCTCATTATGGGAAAGTTGCAAATATACATAAAAATTGAGGGGAAAGTATAATAAACTATGTTTCAACATTTGCCCACAGTTTACCAATCTTATTTCATCTGTCTCCTCTCATATTTTAATGAAGTGTTTTAAAGAAAACTTCCAATATCATGTCATGTCACCCATAAGTACTTCTAGAGTCTTGGTAGAGAGGGGGCTACCTGGTGGTGGTGGGAAGGTGGTTCTGAGGAGGCCCTCTGGGCTGGTGTGCCCAGAAGTCCTCAGGGCAAGAAGATTCAGACAGGAGGAAGCTACTGCTTTTGCCTACCTCCCCAACCAGGGAAGAAGCAGTTGCCAGATGCCCAGCTCCTAGGCCGCCACTTTCTGCTCAGGAGAAAGTTCATACCTGACCCCCAAGGCACCAACCTCATGTTTGCCTTCTTTGCACAACACTTCACCCATCAGTTTTTCAAAACTTCTGGAAAGATGGGTCCTGGCTTCACCAAGGCCCTGGGCCATGGGGTGAGTATCTAAGAGGGACTCTGGATCTAAATTGGCACATGCATATCATTGCCAATGAACTAGGACCTGGGTGATCTGAGGGGACCCCTCTCTGTTCCCAGGTAGACCTTGGCCACATTTATGGAGACAATCTGGAGCGTCAGTATCAGCTGCGACTCCTTAAGGATGGGAAACTCAAGTACCAGGTAGTGCAGCACCTGGGGAAGGGGGCAGTGGGAAATGTCTCCTGTGGTCTCCCCAGACTAAGACTGCTGGGGGTGCCTGGGCCATGTCCTTGAGAGAGCCTGCATGGGAGCAGGAGGCATGTTCCAGGAGGAGAGACAGGAACCCCTGGGAGAAGGTGCCAGGCTTGAAAAGCAAATGAGAAGATGTGACCTTCCATGTCCACCTGGGAGTTGGGTTTTGGAGTTTGATAGGAGAGGGACATTTGCAGTCTGCATTTATTCATTCTTAATTATTCTACAATATTAATTGGGCACTTGACTGTGCCTGGCACAGGTGATTGAGCAGTGACCATCACAGTTATGGGCTCTGCCCTCAAAAAAAAAAACACAGACATAAACTCTAGGATGCTAGTTCTATGAGAATTTTTTGTCTAAACCAGCACTGTCCAACAGAAATATAATGTGAGCCACGTATGTGATTGAAAAGGGCTGCATTATAAAAGGCTAAAAAGGAACAGGTGAAATGGATTTTAATAATATATTTTGCTTAATGCAATATACCTAGAATATTATCATTTTAACATGTAATCAATAAAAATTAATAAAATATCTCATATTATTTTTTCATGCCAAATCTTTGAAATCTGGTGTGTATACGTTACACCCACAGGACATCTCAACTTGGGTGCTAAATTTTCAGTGGAGTTACCAGATCTGTATTTAGATTTCATAAAATGTGTAGTTGAATAAGTAGATTCACCTGCCCAAGTTATTTTAAGTACACTTAAGGTTTTCCTGTAGCTGAAGAATCAGTTTTAAAATCTAAATTAAGTACAACCTAAATAAAATAAATTAAATTAAATTCAGTTGGTCTTCATTTACACTAGCCAAATTTCTAGAGCTCAATAGCCAAACGTGGCTGGTGGCTACCATTTTGGATCATGCAAATCTAAAAAATACCAAAGCAAAGTTCACTGCTGAATCTTTAGGGCAAGCAACAATGCTTGGCATAGGGTGGTCCCTTGGTGTGTGTTTACTGAGTGAATGAAAAATTTGTCACATAATTAGTTATACTTGTAGCTGCCACCAAAGAGAAGCTGTGGTTGCTACTAAAGTGTTGGGAGGATGGGAAGGGCTCCTAGGAAGTTATGAATAAATCAAGAATTGCATGAAGGATGAGGAGGAGTTAGGAAGGCCAAGAATGGGAATGTGCTTTCTAGGTAGAGGGTTCAGAATGTGCAAAAGCTTGGAGGTGGGAAACATCTGGGTGACTTGAAGAAAGTATAAGAGTGGGAGTGTTTTCTGAACCTAGTGATCGAGAGTGAGAATGATTCCAGTTGAAGGCAGAGACATCTGTGGGGTCCGTGTTAAGGATTTCTGATTTCTGCCAAGAGCAGAGAGAGGACTTGGAAGGGTTTAAGTCAGCACGTGATGCTAGATTTGGATTAAGGATCTCTCTGGCTGCAGTGTACAGACTGGACTGTTGTGGGGGCAGGAGTGGATATGGGGGCCCACATAATGAGAAGATTCAGGGTGAGAGATGAGGGCCAAGGGTGGTGGCAGTAGAGATGGAGAGCAGGGGACCGATTTTAAGAGCGATTTAGGGGTGGAATCAGCCTAGTTGAGGAGGCCCAGCAGCTGGAAGTAGAAGCGGGAGGGAGTCAGCTGTGGGCAGCTGCAGGTGCCTAGACATCCCAGGTTGCCAGGAGGCCCCATCCCACAGGTGCTGGATGGAGAGATGTACCCACCCTCGGTAGAAGAGGCGCCTGTGTTGATGCACTACCCGCGGGGTGTCCCGCTCCAGAGCCAGATGGCCGTGGGCCAGGAGGTGTTTGGGCTGCTTCCCGGGCTCATGCTCTATGCCACGCTCTGGCTGCGTGAGCATAACCGTGTGTGTGACCTGCTGAAGGCTGAGCACCCCACCTGGGACGACGAGCAGCTGTTCCAGACAACCCGTCTCATCCTCATAGGTGAGGACTCCAGACCTGCCCTGCCCTGGAAGGTCATGCCCTCTATCCTGAGAAGCAGGGGATGGGGGGCTTGGACAGAGGCTAGGGTTAGAATCCAGGCTTTTCTGCTTACTGGCCGTGAGACCTTGGGCAGGTCTCTCTACCTTTCTGAGCCTCAGTCTCCAAATCTGTATGTTGGGGTGAATAATGTTTGTAAGGATTTGCTGAGCTGATGAATGGGAAGGCATTTAGCATACAGCAAGGTCTTCAGGAAATGGGTGACTGTGATGGTTCATTATTAGCTAGGTGGCTCAAACAGCCATCCCAAATCTCAGTTTCTCCATTGCACTGCACCCAGATGCACACTTGATATCCCTCGTGTGTGCAAGGCCAAACCTCAGCTTGCCTAGCTTTCAGAAGTCTTCATGTTTCCTGCCTTGCATGTATCTACCTTTCTGGAGTCTGGTAGCTTCTAGGTGACTCAGGGACAGGATATTTTTGTGTTCCCTACGGGGGCGAGTCTACAACCTAAAATGTCAGATGGTTTCCTGCCTGTGAGTTTGGCCCCTGACTTCCCTGTCCAGACTATGTTCGCTCTGAGTCACCAGTATCCCTCTTTCCCCACCTCTGGGCACCACTGGGCATGGCTGGTCCCAATTATAGTGACTGATTCACTGGACCCTGGAAGAGCCAGGCATCAGGGATAGGAACAGTCTGAAGTGGGAGGAGGGGCTGGTTCTGAAGTCCCAGCATTGCAGAGACTGTCCAGAAAGGGGAAGTCTATGACTGGAGGCTGCCCAGCACCCTGGCTGGTGATGAAACTATGACCAAAGGCAAAACTCCTAGAGCACTGCACATTCAGTGCTTTATTTAACTCCCCAACAATCCTATGAACCAGATATGATTACCCTTATGAAAATTAAGATTCAGAGAGGTTAAGTGAATTCTCCAAGGCCACTCAGCAGAGGGAGACTTGAACTAGGTCTGGCCGACACTAAAACTCATGCTACTGCCACCCCATCACAAGGGAGCTCTTCCCTGAGTGGGGAGGGGTTGCAAGCCTCAGTTTGATCTTTTGTTTTGTGTGAGTAGATGAAGATTCTCCCTTCATTCCTACACTTAGTACTCCTACTTCTGGCTGACATGTATGGACACTGCCTTTTTTGCCAGGCCCAGTGCCAGCAGCATAGATACATTCATTGCCTACTTCTCAAAACAACCTTGTGCAAATTATTGCACTGATATTATTATAATACACATTTTACACTTAAGGAAAGTGAGGCACGGAGAGATTAAGTAACTCGACCCAAGTTCAAGTGGCTAGAAATGGTGAAGCCAAGATTTGAACCCAGACCTGCTGATACCACGTTCTGTGGCTCCAGGTTAATTTTCTAAAAGTCAATTTGTGTAATGGCTAATTGACCAAAACCTGTTTCCTTTGATATCTAGTTGGCCAGTTTTCAATTTGTTATAGAATGTTCAATTTGCTTCTTCCCTGGCTTTTTGCTTTATAGCTGGTTACTTAGGGGGCAGAGGAAAAAAGTCTGTTCATAAGGATTGCAATATATAAGAACATATTAGAAATATATGTTTTGAAATATATTAGGCCAGGCATTGTGGCTCATGCTTGTAATCCCAGTACCTTGGGAGGTCGAGGTGAAAAGATTGCTTGAGTTCAGGAGTTTGAGACCAGCCTGGGTAGCATAGTGAGACCTCATCTCTACAAAAAAAGAAATACATTTAGGACTAGGCTCACCTTCTGTCCTCAGTGCCCCCTTTTTGCCTCTGCAGCAGCTGTGCATGGTCTCCTTGAAGCTCCCCCACACCTCACTGAGTGTGTTAGTATAATGACAGCCTTTACTGAATAAATTCTTCACTTTTCCATCTTCTATGGTCTCTCCAACCTCTGTGGGAGGGAAGTCTCCCAAGGGTCACAAAACCAATTCTTGGACACCTCTTTTGCATGTCCTGCTTAGCTGGGCCTAGAACCTCCCCTGGAATGTGGAAGAAACTGATGCTCTTGTTTTGGGACCTTAGTCAAACCTGGGACTGAAAGTTTTATTTTCACATTCTATTACAAAGAGACAAAGTGGGGCTGGGTGTGGTGGCTCATGCCTGTAATCCTAGCACTTTGGGAGGCTGAGGCAGGAGGAACATTTGAGTCCAGGAGTTCAAGACTAGCCTGAGAAACATAGCGAGACTTCATCTCTACAAAAATAATAATAATAATACACCTGTTGTTCCAGCTACTCAGGAGACTGTGGTATAAGGATCGCCTGAGTCCAGGAGGTTGAGGCTGTGGTGAGCCATAATTGTACCACTGTTCTCTAACCTGGTAGACAGAGTGAGATCTCTGACTTAAAAAACAAAACCAAACAAAGCCAAATAGAATGAAATACCCACCACCAACTAAGAGACAAAAAGCAAGCACTTTTCACAGACTGGCCTACTTTCCATACTGGGTGTCTAAGTCTCTATGCTTGGCCGACCCTATTTCCAATCCTTCCTGCCCAGGGGAGACCATCAAGATTGTCATTGAGGAGTACGTGCAGCAGTTGAGTGGCTACTTGCTGCAACTGAAGTTTGATCCAGAGCTGCTGTTCAGTGCGCAGTTCCAATACCGCAACCGCATAGCCATGGAGTTCAACCACCTCTACCACTGGCACCCACTCATGCCCAACTCCTTCAAGGTGGGCTCCCAGGAGTACAGCTATGAGCAGTTCTTGTTCAACACCTCCATGCTGGTGGACTATGGGGTCGAGGCCCTGGTGGATGCCTTCTCTCGCCAGAGAGCTGGCCGGGTAAGCCCCAGAGGAGCATTGGTGAGGGCAGGGGCAGGCTGTGGGATCCGATAGGCATCTCAGTTTCTTGGAGGCTAGAGGCTCGATTTCCTTTTCAGAGAATGAGGGTAGTATCAATTCTACAGGGTGATTTTGATCGTTCTTTCATGAAGTCTTTTGTTCATTTGTTCATTCAACAATACCAGACATTACTTCAGGTGCTGGGGACAGGGTGGGGAATAAGACTGCGGTGGTTCTTGGGTCATTGTCCTTTGGGTGCCTACATGCTAGAAAGGGATGACAGTCATATGACAGCTAACACCATTTGAACACTTACTGTGTGTTAGGCACTGTGCTAAGTGTTTCTCTGATGTTACCAGGATTGCAAGAGCATGCTAAGAACCACAATACAAAAACCCACAGTACTCTGGGAACTCAGGGGCTTCTGGCCCAGAGTTGGGGGTTATAGGTTAGGAAGTGATGTCTGAGCAGAAATTGGAAGAGAAGAATAGAGATTTCCCAGGGAAAGAGATGGTGTTAGTGGCAGAATCTGGACAGCCTGGGCAAAGGCCAGAAAGTCAGAGGGCATGGCAGTTTGAGGAACAGGATATTCAAGTCATGGTAATATACATGGAAGAACCAGCATATAGTGTTTATTAAGTCATAAGCCTCTGTTAGAGGCTGAATTATCTCTTCTCCAACATTTACATGTTGAAATCCTAAACCCCTAGTACCTTAGAATGTGACTTCATTTGAGATAAGGTATTTAAGGAGATAATTAAGGCGAAGTGAGATTATTATAGTGGGCCCTAATCCAGTATCACTGGTGTCCTTATAAGAAGGGGAGATTAGGAGGCAGACACACACAGAGATTACCATGTGAAAACACAGAAAAAAGATGGCCATTTACAAGCCAAGGAGGGAGGCCTCAGAAGACACCAACCCCGCTGACACCTTGATCTTGAACTTCTAGCCTCCGAACTGTGAGGAAATAGATATTGGTTGTTTGAACCACTCAGTATGTGGTACCTTGTCACAGCAACTCCAGCAAATGAATACATCCTCTTTCCCAGAAATTCCTAACCAACTCCCACTTAAACATCCCCTTCTCCAGATTTGGAAGATCTCATCAGTTTTAAACCAGTCTCTGACTCCCTCATCGTCATCCTCAAACCCCCTACTTCTCTCTAAGCCTTATCCTAAGGCTTACTGTGAAGTTGTGGCACCATATGGATTTCAGTTTCCTTCTGGTAATTTGACTGAAATTAACATTTGCTGCCACCAGTGGGCAGCTGCTGACTGGTTTATGGCCTTTGTTCTCTGTGGGGACACAGATATGAACAGAGACAATAAATACCCTTTGTGGAGGGCTGGATGGTTTTCAAAACATTTTCAAGGAATGACGATGGTGTTGTATGTGAAAAGCCCCAGTGTTGCAGCTGGCACAAGGCAGAAGGGCGACAGAAATGTGATGACTCTCAGAATATTAAGATGAGTGGGAGACGTGATAAGACAGGGCTTCCCCTGATAACCATCATGTACAACTACACTCTGGGGGTAAGCATGTGACCGACACTGTGATAACTGCTTTGCATACTTTATCTCATTTAATTTACCACAGCCATATCAGGTACTTGTTTTTACCTTCCCCATTTTTACATAATAGGAGACACAACTTAGCTCAAGTAACTGCCCAAAGTGCCTATATTAGTTTGCTAAGGCTACCGAAACAAAATACCTCAAACTGGGTGAGTTAAAACAGATGGAGGTTAGAAGTCTGAAATCAAGGTATCAACAAGGTTATACTCTCTCTGAAGGCTCTGTGTCTCTGTTCTAGCTTCTGGTGGTTACTGGCAATCCTTGGCATTCTTCAGCTTGTAGATGGATCACTCTCCCATTTTTGCACCATCGTCATGTGGTGTTCTCCCTGTGTCTCTCTTTTCTCATCTTATAAGGACATCAGTTATTGGATTAGGGCCCAGCCTAATCCAGTATGATCTCCACTTGATTACATCTACAAAGACTCCATTTCCAAACAAGATCACATTTGCTGGTGCTGGGGATTAGAACTTCAAAGCATATTTTTGGGGGACACAATTCAACCCCTAGCAGCTCCAAAGCTTGTAAATGGTCAAGCTGGAATTGGCATCAACCTCTGCTTGCTTTGCTCCAAGATATATGATTTTATCCAGTCATGCTTTTCTTCTTTCTTGCCCAATTATTCTTCTATTAAAACAGAACTCTCTCTTAAGCATTAAATTTCATCTGGAGCAATAGAGTTGTCTTTAGAGTGATGCTCCTTAACTGTTAGGAATCAGAAACTTTTCCTGGAGCATTCTTTATCTCACCAGGTAACTTGGGCTTTGAATTTTATTTTCCCTCCCTTCACAGAGGATTATGCCACCTGTTGTATAATTCAAAGTACCAGGGAGCTGTTGAGTTACCGAAGAGGTCCTCCTGGCCCACTCCACACTTTAAACATGAGGAAACTGAGACCCAGAGGGACTCTGGAAAGAGCATGGCAGTGGCAGATCCAGGGACAGATCCCAAGCGTTATGGCTGCTAGGCAGTGCCATGTCCTTGATCTTCATTCAGAAGGGACTTGTGATTGGAAGCTCTTTTCCTTGGATATTACAGGCTCCAGGACAGTGTGGCCTGGCTCTGAGACCACTGCTGTGCTTACCTCTTTGCAGATTGGTGGGGGTAGGAACATGGATCACCATGTCCTGCATGTAGCTGTGGATGTCATCAAGGAGTCGCGGGAGATGCGGCTGCAGCCCTTCAATGAGTACCGCAAGAGGTTTGGCATGAAGCCCTACACCTCTTTCCAGGAGCTCACAGGTGAGCAGCTGTTTCCTGGACACAGTCCCTGCCCTCGAAGGACTCACAGTAAAGTGAGGGAGATGTCAAAGAAACAGAATAGGACAACACATGTGGCAAGCACAGTGACTGTGGGCTTTATTAGGGCATGGAAGCACTGTGCTGGAGTGGTGAGGGGTGACAGATAGCCCCACTTAGGGAGAGGTGTCTTTTCAGCTGGGGTTGGAATAAATAGGAGTTTTCCAGTGGGAGAATGGAGGGGAAAGCATTTTAGGTAGAGCAGCAGGAAGCACAAAGGCACAGATGTGTGTGCCAATTTGGGGAAACAGTCCGTAGATGTGGCTGAAGTAAGTGGCCTGTGTTGGGGAGGAGGTGTTAGTGATGGGAGGTTGGGGCTAACTGTAGAATCTTGATTTCCATACTTAAGATTTTGGGTTTTATTCTGTCTAGTGATTCCAAAATATCTATTTATGGACCAACTGTATAAGAAGCACTTAAAAAGCAGATTAAAATACCAGACCTCAGATGCCTCTCACAGAGGTTCTGATTTAGTGGGCCTGGGTAGTGTCCGAGAATCTGTATATACAGACATATGGATATGTTTTTCCAAGATCTCCAGATGTTGGGCAACCCTTATTACAGAAAACAAGAGCCACTGAAGCAGGGTGTGACATGGGCCATGTCCAGTGCCCAGAATGGTTTTGAGGAAATGGGTAGGGAAGCTCCACATATATCTCCCCTTGGCCACTATCTGTGAACATGTGGGTCTCGCAGAGTGTGGATGATCCTGGGGCAGTAATTTTTGTGAGATGGGGAGCATTCTCCCTGCTGTAATGATCAGGTAACTAGGGCCCAGAGATAGAATGAGTTGCTCAGGGACACATGCTGTTTGGTGACAGTAATTTCTTTAATCCCCCATGACAAATGGTCTAGAGGGACAGAAGAACACTTCCACTGAATTTGTGTGAGTTTGGACTACATCTTTGAGCTCTAGTAGAATCAAGGGCCTTGAGCCATAGCAAGGCCTTGAAACCTGCCTGTGAAGGAAGCGAGATGGGGAGCATTCTCCCTGCTGTGATGATCAGGTAACTAGGGCCCAGAGATAGAATGAGTTGCTCAAGAACACATGCTGTTTGGTGACAAGTCTGTGCCCCTTGGCTCTTTTTTTAGTAGCATATTCCTTTCCTAGACCCAGTCCAGGAGGAGGATCAATTTGTGCTTTCTTTCCTTTTCCCCCCCAATGCCAACCATTCTGAAATCTAGGGCGTGTGCTCAGTTTCTCAATTTGTTCTCCTGGGGTCCCTATCACCTTCAGAAAAAGGTGGGCCTGGGAGGGTCCCACCCTAGTTTGACCTTAATGGCACCATGGCTCTGACTCTAGCTTTTTCCACTTGTAGGAGAGAAGGAGATGGCAGTGGAGCTGGAGGAGCTATATGGAGACATCGATGCCTTGGAGTTCTATCCGGGGCTGCTTCTTGAAAAGTGCCTACCGAACTCCATCTTTGGGGAGAGTATGATAGAGATCGGGGCTCCCTTTTCCCTCAAGGGTCTCCTGGGAAACCCCATCTGTTCTCCAGAGTACTGGAAGCCGAGCACATTTGGTGGTGAGATGGGCTTTAGCATTGTCAACACGGCCACCCTGAAGAAGCTGGTTTGCCTCAACACCAAGACCTGTCCCTATGTTTCCTTCCATGTGCCCAACTCCAGTCAGGACGATGAGACTGTTGTGGAGCGACCATCCACAGAGCTCTGAGGGAAGGGAAGCAGCACCCTGGAGGGGAGAGCTTTGTGCTTGTCATTCCAGACTGCTGAGGCCAGGGTTGATGGTATTCAATGTCGATTTTCTGGTTTGGCATTGTGAGTATAGGAGTTGACACTTAGAACTTTGGGTCTCACCCATTATCTGGAATATTGTGATTCTGTTTGCCATTCTAGAATGCTGAATTCCTTGTCAACCCTTCAGAATGTTAGGAGTTGTTCTCGTTTGGCCCTGCCAGGACACTAGTTGACCACCTAGAATGTAGATTTCTGGGTGATTTGGAATGTAGGGATTCTAGAATATGGAGCCCCTGATGAAATCTAGAAAGTTAGAGGGTTCTTACTTTGCATTCCAGAATCTTGACTTTCTGATCGTGATTCAGGACGTTGTGTTCCTGGCTGATGATCCAGAACAGTGGCTGGTATGCCAGATCAGTCATGATCTGAGCCTAGAATGTTGATTTGACTCATTTTCCTGTTCAATGAGGTATCCATAGAGCAGGAGATCCTGATGTCCAACAAGAATGCATTGCCTGAATCTGTGCTTGCACTGAGGGCACAAGAAGTTGGATGTTCTTCCTGGGACCTCCTACTTAGACCCTGGTCTGAGGATGTAAAGAGAATAGGTGGGCTTTTTCATGCCATTGGTTGTAAGCCACCAGAGCTCTGTCCCCATCCAGGTCTTGACTTGTGGCAGCTGTTACTCATGAAGCTAATAAAATTCTCCTTCCAAAGTTGCCTGCTCTGTATCTCTTGATTCCATCCCCAAAAGCAGAGGCAACACCAAGTGTGGCTGGCTCTTCTCCTAGCTGCAAGCTGGGTGTGCTAGAAGTTGCAGTATGAGACTTTCCATTGGGATCCCTGGGCACACCACTGTGTAGATGTTTTACCACTGGTGCTTCTTTTCTCCTTGTGGGTCAGGGATTGCCCTTTTCAGGATGCTCTCCTAAAATGTCCAATGCCCCAGCCCCGTGATATATAGCATTTAATTCCTACCATCTGATTAAAACAACCTCCTTCCTTACAGAACATATAACAGAGATGAGGAGCATCTGGGGCCAGTTTCACACACTTAATTCTCATTTATTTTCACACCAACAGTGTGAAGTGGGTGGTATAAGCTCCATTTCAAAACCCAGGCAACTCAATCTCAGAGTGGCCAGGTGACATGCCCACAGGTGCCAGAGCCAGGCTTGGAGCCCAGCTCCAGCTAAGTCTAGAACTTGTGCTCTTCTCGATTCCTGGTTTGACTAAGTGCCAGGTCTCACCTTGCCTGTCTGACTCAGGGTCAAAGACAGAGGGTGGAGTGTGGCCTCCACCTTACATACAGACTATTCATGCAGTCCCAGATATTTATTTTCCTAAGTGCCTACCGCATGCCAGTTACTGCTACAGGTTTGGGGGGATAGCAGTGAGTGATCAATACAAACAATTCTCTGCCGTTATGGGGCTCACAGTCCAGTGAGTATAGGACAGACAATAATTAAGAAAACAATGAAATAATATAAATAAATGCAAGATGAGTGTGACATCCCTTCTAACCCACTCTGTTCTGTCTTCCTCTATTGCACTCCTGAGACCAGAGATGAAGCAGCGGTGATCTGAGAATATACAGCTCCCCTTCCCTCTACTCCAGCCCTGAAACGCTTTTACTAGCTGAAAGGACTCTTATAGGCAGCAAAGGGAGAGGAGAGGCAGAGGGATATGGTGAGTGGTTGGGATAAGGTCCTTCGCACTTCATACTTTGGGCTTAGCGTTCCTCAGGAAGAACTATGGTCCAGAAACAACAGGGGAAACTGCGGTTCAGGCTGACAGTCCTTGGGGTTGGATCTCCTGTCTTATAGTCCAGAAAGTCCTGTTTCTCCTTAGTTGACTGGGAAATGCTCCTACCGTTCCTTCCCAGCTCTGGTGGATGCAGAGAATGCAGTCTTTCTCTGCTCCCATGTTGCTGTGTTATAGAAGGATTCTTTGGGTGCTGGAAGTGGGCATGGAGTGAGTGTGTCTTGTCCTTGCTTGTTCTGTATCTATTTCCCCTCTTCTGCTAACACTCTCTACTTCTGCCTGAGAATCCCTCCTTCCCTTGTTAATTTCAGTCTTTATGGTTCTATCAAGAGTATACTCTGGCTAAGGGATGGGCTTGTGAATCAGTCTCAGGCAATCAGACACCCTCTCCTTGAAAATTGACCCCGGAGTAGAGTTACATGGAGATTGAGATCACTGACTGATTCATCTCCACCACTGGCTCTGAAAAGACGGTTCACTTGTTCCTGCTTCCAGGATCCCCAGGGCAGCCTGAATTCCTGACCTTCTCAAGACCTTTATCTCTTCCTTTCATCCTGTGTGCTGTTTCAGGAATTCCTCTTTTGCTTACATCAGTCAGAGTTGGTGCCTGTTGCTTGCAACTAAACCTCATGACTGCTGGCCCAAGTGACACAAGAATTACAATAGCTCTGGAGAAACTTTTAATCAGGGAGATGCAATCAGACTAGTGTGTTGGAAGGAGCAACCTCTGGTAGTGTGGGCAACAGAGAAGAGCAGGAAGGACTGGAGGCTGTCAGAAATGAAGAGTCTGCAGCTGTGGTCCAACCAACTATGGGGATAGAAGGATGGGACAGGTTTCAGGGGTATTCCTCTCTTGAATGCAGGTGCCTAGATTTGGTGGACTTTACTTAGTATGGACAGCTGTGTATGAAAGTTTTTCAAAGGGAAATATGCCAAATGTACCAAGAAACCTTCTCCAGAGTGAAGGATCTTGACGTTCATAATTTGAACACTCTCTCCTGGAGTTTTGATTTGGTGAGTGTGATGGTTGTTTTTATGTGTTAGTTTGGCTGGGCAATGACGCCCAGTTACTTAACCATACACTAATCTAGGTGTGGCCGTGAAGATATTTTATAGATGTGATTAATATCTACAAACAGTTGGCTTTAAGTAAAGGAGACTTGGGTAGGCCTCATCTAATCACTTGGAAGGCCTTAAGAACAAAAACTGAGGTTTCCCAGAGAAGAAGAGGTTCTTCTTCAAGACTGCAGCAACAGATCCTGGGTTTTCAGTCTGCTGGCCTGCCCTGTGGATTTCAAGCTTGCCAATCCCAATGATTGTATGAACTAACTCCTAAAAATACAGCTATAAGCCGGGCTCGGTGGCTCAGCCTGTAATCCCGCGCCTTTGGGTGGCTGAGGTGAGTGGATTGCCTGAGCCCGTAGGTTCGAGACCCGCCTGGGCAGCGAGACTCATCTCTACAATAAATCAAAAAATCGGCTGGGCATGGTAGCACATGCCTGTAATTCTGGCTACTCGGAAGGCTGAGGTGGAAGGATCGCCGGAGCCCAGCAGGTCGAAGCTGCGGTGGCCGGGAGTGGCCACTGCACTCCAGTCTGGGAGACAGAGTGAGACTCCAACTCAAAAAAAAAAAAAAATACAGCTATATAATCAAGTTGTCCTTTGGTTCCAGGACCATACATAAGAAGGATGTTCAAAGAGACTGGGAAGCAGGGAGTATCTACTTCAGTGGATCTAGTTTTCCTAGATCTGTTTTGCCTCTGTGATCCTATCCCTAGAATACTACAAAGACCATCACAATGTCACCACTGTTGATGTGGCAGCAGTTCAACATAGGTGCAAGCAAAGAGGTTAAGGAGCAAAATTATGCATGTACAAAATAAGAGAGAAGCAAAGATTGCTGGGTACACATAGCCCACTCTTCTAATAATGTTTGAGTAGAAAAGTGTCAAAAATGTTAGACATGCCTACAACCTACTTTTGCACCTAATCACACTTTTCCTTTAAAAATGAACTTGAAATTAAAACAGCTATGTGCGAATGATAGAAATACTAAAACTGAATAGGTATCTTTATTGAGTACTATCAAGGGAACCACAGTGAAGCACTTTCCTCACTATCTTACCTGTTATTCGTGTTTTATTAAAGTTGGTTTCCCCCAGGCTTGGGCAAAATAGGTCTTTTGTTTTCACTCTATTCTTTTTGAAGGGCTTCTGAGTCATTTGTACAACTGCAGTTTGGTGTTTTGGGTTTTGTATCATGTGGCAGTGCATTCTTACAGACTTTTGTGGCAGGTCTCTCTCCTGCCCCTAATTGGAATAGAATACACAGCAGAGTGCACTGATCTTAAGCCCATAGTTTAACAAATTTTTACATAAATCAAGATGTAAAACATTCCCAGCACTCTAGAAGGCTCTTTTGTGCTTCTTCTCAGTGAACAAAATAAAAACCCAAAAGGTAACCACTATTCTGATTTTTTTTCCCTTGAAACAGAGTCTTACTCTGTTACCCGGGCTGGAGTGCAGTGGTATAACACCAGCTTACTCCAGACTCAACCTTCTGGGCTCAGGAGATCTCCCACATCAGTCTCCTAAGTAGCTGGGACTACAGGCATGACCGTACCCAGCTAATTTTTTGATTTTTTTGTAGATAAGAGGTCTTGCTATATTGTCGAGGCTGGTTTTGAACTCCTAGGCTCAATCAATCCTCTCACCTCAGCTTCCCAAAGTACTAGGATTATAGGTATGAGCCGCTGCACCTGGCCCCACTATTCTGACTTTTATCACTAAGATTAAGTTTTGTCTGCTCATGAACTTCATTTGAGTAAAGTCATAAAGTAGGTACTTTTTTGGTGTCTGACCTTTTTTGCTCAACATAACAATTGTTGACATCCATGTTGCTATATATATATTTTTTTGTTGTGGTGGTGGTGTTAATATTTAATGTGTACCACAATTGATTTATCCAGTCTACTGCTAATGGATATTTGGATTATTTCCATTTTTTGTTACTATTATCAATAAAACTGCCCTATATGGCAGATTTTAACCCTTATAACTAGGCTCTATTTTAAATATCATCTTTACGCACTTTTATTATAAGAAATGGTCTGTGTTCTTCATTCAAAATTCCCTTACGTGTCTTCTTTTGCTTTATGACCTGATGGAAAGAGAAAATATTTTCACATGTGTATATGCACCTTTAGAAAAGGGGGAAAGGAATATACGGGGGGGAACCCCCCAAACCCAGAATTATATTTTTGGAGGGTGGGCCCCTTCTAGTACAGGCTTCCCCCACTAGATAATTGTTCTAGGAACCCATCAGCATCAGTGTACCAGCTAGTGTTATTGTGAGAGGCTGCATTCAGTTTCAGTGATTTCTTTTTTGTTGTTGAGATTCTTCCAATATGTTTGCCCACTTTATGATGGGTGATTTACCAGTGCGCCGGCCCACACTGTGTTGAGTGTTCGGCAGTTTTTGACCCAAGACTGCATGACCCCCATACCCTACCCTTTTTATTTACCTAATCTTGTTCTGAGCAACATTTTTTTTGTTTCCCCGGATGGTAAAGGTCCTCAAAGGGAAACGTTTTGCCAATGTGGAAGATTTGGAACAAAAAAATAGCAGAAGGCATCAAAACTGACAAGTTCAAAACTGTTTAGAGCAGTGAAAAAATTGTCTCAACAGGTGTACTGCATCAAACAGAGTACTTTGAAGGTGACAAGTTTAAACATGCAAGAATTAAATACACAATTTTTTATAAATAAATTTCCTGATCCCCTCTTGTATATTACCTGTTCTTTACCTTCCTATTTCATTAACTCTTCCTAACAGCTTCATGAGTAGGTTTATCTGTTTCACAAAGGAAGACATTGAGATACAGAAAAATGAGGTGACTTACCCAGACTCATACAGCTACAAAGAGGTGGGAGACAACGTGAAAATTCCAAAGTGTG